AACTTTTATAATGAACATATCAGTAAACGGGCAGTCACAAGTCCCTCCTGGCTTTAGGTTTCACCCGACCGAGGAAGAGCTCTTGCAGTATTACCTTCGCAAGAAAATCTCTAACATCAAGATCGATCTCGATGTTATTCGTGATGTTGATCTCAACAAGCTCGAGCCTTGGGATATTCAAGGTTCATTATTTATTTTTATTTGCCTTATATATATCATAATCTGGATCGCGAGTGTACTATGTAATATAATCTTTTCATGATTATTGTCAAAACGTATAAATTCATTTATTCACGTTGATGATCATATTATATTCTAGCGATTTAATACAATATTTAATTAATTGATTGTCATAAAAACATACTATTTGGAGAATTAAAATTACATGTCTTTCATCGATTAGAATTTATCAGTGACAATCTAACTCTTGTTTTGCTATGTATAGAGATGTGTAAGATTGGAACAACTCCACAAAACGATTGGTACTTCTTTAGCCATAAGGACAAGAAGTATCCCACTGGAACAAGAACCAACCGAGCCACCACGGTCGGGTTTTGGAAAGCCACGGGACGTGACAAGATCATATATAGCAATGGCGATAGGATCGGTATGCGAAAAACACTTGTCTTCTACAAAGGTCGAGCACCTCATGGTCAAAAATCTGATTGGATCATGCACGAATATAGACTCGATGAGAATGTATTAGTCTCCTCTTCGAATCACAACAATGATGACGTCACTGTAGAGACGTGTGAGATCATAGGTGGAGACGAAGGATGGGTGGTGTGTCGTGTTTTCATGAAGAAGAGTCTTTGCAAAACCATAATGAGCAGCCCGGCGAGATCGGGGAAAACGTCGTCGTTCAATGAGCAGGCTATCGAGCAACTTCTTGAAGTCATGGGGCAATCTTGTAAAGAAGAGATAAATTTAGACCCATTCTTGAAACTCCCTAACCTCGAGTGCCCGAACAACACCGTCGCGACGAGTTACCAGCGGTTGATGGAGGACGACCAAGTCAACAATTGCCACGTCAGCAAAGCTGTGGACTCCAGCTTCGTCACTAGCTGGGCCGCTTTGGATCGGCTCGTTGCGACGCAGCTAAATGGGCCCAACTCGTACTCAATCCCAGCCGTCGATGAGATCTCACAGTCACCATACCATGGATTAAACCGGTCTTGTTATTACAATAACGGTTTAACGCCGGATTACTATATATCGGAGATGGAGATTTGGAACGATACGATGACGTCATCGTCCAACTCATTGTGTCACGTATCGAACGGTAGTGGATAACGCAAATGGAGAGGAAGTGATATACAAACTAAAAAACATTGTGTAGAAAAAAATATAATCATATATATAGTTGTTGAAAGATTTAAGAAAAACAGTCAAGATTTGTAATAATTACAGTGGTTATGCGAAATCATTACAGAAAAACACTAAAAATTCTCTATGTGTGGCGTACATTTTATTTCATGGTTTTACTTTATAAAAGAGGATTGGTTACGCAATTTAAATTTGTTGGTTCAAGAATTTTAGTTTTGGAAACTTAATTATCATTTTTATGGCATCTAAATTATCATTCGATGACCAAAAGCAATTACATTTTCGATTGTAAAAATCATAGTCTGTCACATGGGTTGCCTTGTGTTTTCGAGTTACATTTTGTAAAAAAGGGTTTTAAACAAAAACTTAATTATCATTTCAAGGGAGGCAAAAGTCTGATATGATAATTAATTCGTCGACAACATTAACTTTAAAAATAAATAACTTTCATCACGTTCTTTTCTGTTCAATCTTTCTCATTTTACTCTCTAAATACACTGAATTTATGTATTCTAGGGATTATTTCTTCTAGGCAAACTAAGAACTTTGTTGTTTGAATAGTTAGTTTGGTGTTGAGTAGAGTGCTTCTCTAATTTCATCATTAGACGTAGATTAATTACCAAATTAATCACCTCAACAAACTTGGATTAAGATGCACCAAGTGCCTAATTAGAGCTTATTAACCTACCTATCAAAGCTAATCACCCTCGGCATATTTAATTACATATTTAATATGTTATTTTGTCGAATATTCTCTTTCGCAGTGAGGAATCTTGTGTTTGAAGAAATATGGAGAATTCCAACATTCACGTTTATTTTATTTTCAACTTGTGATGATATTTGTAAAAGGCTCAATTAT